AATCGATTTAGTGATTATAATAATTCTATGTTTGGAAAATAAGAATAAATTTTTGGGATTGTTATGCTAGAAAAAAAATAATATTTCTCATTGTATTTAAAAAGCATTTATTATATTAGAAAATGTCGATATTTTACTGTAGAATGAAAATTCAAAGTATTTTCTTTTTTTATATTAAACAATTTAAATTTGATTTTTTTCTAACTCTTTATTTTCTTTAATTCTCCAAACTTAAAATGTCATTTTAAATACCCTTCCCTTCACTTACGATTTTAAGGAAATAATAATAACAAAATGATAGAAATCAATAATTAAACGTTTTAAATAAATCGTTCATAACGAAAACTAATGTTTCGTGTATGTGATTAAAAAGAAAATTGTTAGGATTTGTTTTTTTATCTTCATTTAAGACTTGGAATTGATTCAAGAAAGTAGAATCGATTTTTTTATGGTACAGCGATTTTTTTGAATGTTAACCACTATTATCTTTTGGAATTTTGTTCGTTACTTTTTCAAGCTCGATTGCTTCGGTGCAGCGATTGGAATATTTTTTTTTTCCCATATTTTCAGGATTTTAATTTTTTTTTGATATATATATATATATATGCTTTTGAGGTTCCTCATCTCTCGTGGACGCGATCATTTTGGAAGTAAAAAGGTAAGGAAACTTTTTATTATCAATTACTTGTTTTTATCACATCTTAATCCATGTCGTGGAATCTATAATATAATTAATTCCGTTTAGATCATTTTTGACGATACGACAGGCCGTCCTAATATTTTTTTTTATAAATATGAGTTGGAAATTCAACATAACACGCTCGCCCTTCTCACATTGCATATATACCTTAAACTTTCCTTTTTCTCTCTTACGCTGTTTTAACATTATAATTTTCTAATTTATAACTTTGAAATTCCGATTTCTTAGTTTATATTTTATTATTTTTCGTTATTGTCGGTGATTAACATTTATTCTGCTTAATATATTGACATTGCGAAAGGGTAGAGGCCGACGTTGAGGCAACACTAATGATTTATATTATTAATTAAATATTTTGTCACAATTACTTCATTTTTATTCAAATAAATTCTTCCGCTTACAAATAAAATTGTTTATAAATACATAAACGAAAGAACTGAATATAAAATATTATGTTTAATGAACTCATAAAGAACTAAGGAAATTAAAAAACATCAATATAATAAAAATATAAAATATTTAATAAGAAACTACAGTTTAACTATAATATATTTGACAAAATAAGGATTTCGATTATAAAATTAACTTATAAAGATCAAAATTTTCATTCAACTCCGAATTATCTATGATTGGATAATAAATTTTTGAAATAATATATGAAAATATTAAAATAAAACATCCAGTGGACTTTGACGGAATTGAAATATGCTATATAAAATTTCAGTTTATAAAAATTTTTGATCTTTCAACTCATAAAATTTAATTAATTGCATAAAAGATTTTAACAATAAACATCAATTTTAGTATTTTTAATTTTTTTAAAAAAATTTATAAATATTTAATTTTTTATAATGGACTACAATTCGACTTTTTAAAGATACTCTGGAATAAGTGCCAATTTATATTTGCATTTATTACCAATTTCCAAGAGGCCCCACAACCGCAAACTCTGGTTGTAATAAAATTGTATTTATTGCACTAAAAATTTTGTAAAGTGCAAAAAAAATAACTAAGTCATTTTGTGATCGAACTTATGACCTCAATTGAAATGTTCCCGGTCCCTTCTTAAGGAGTAAATTCTGCTCATTAATATAATCGATAAAACCTTGAAAATTATCAAATTGAATATTATTTTCTGTCGCGATTTTTCGCATTTCTTGAATAGAAAATAGATCACTTCCTTTGGAATTTCCTTGTCTTTTTAATTCTCCTATGAATCTATCAAAAATGATAGACTTTTTTAGTAGTCCAGTCTTTCATGTTAAAATAAATAATTATTAATCTTTACCTTTTCACTTCGACTTGCTTTCCAAATTTCCCACAACCTTAGTTTTAACTTATTTGTAAGTAAATATGATAAAAAGGTAACAAAATTGTCACATTACCTTTTTTTGATATAGTATTTCCAAGTGAATCTTTTTTAATTTTAAATAAACAGGATTCCCTAAATTTGAATAATAATTAACGTTAACAAATCAAAATAATAAAATAATTTAAATAAAATTGGTTATTACATGATTTCAACAGCATCTTCGACATCTGAGCATAGGACTAAATCTCGTAGTTCCATTCTTGCTCGCGCTTGAGCCAATTTTATCATTGTTTCTAATTGGCGAATAGTAATGGACGTTTGATCCATAGAAAGGTATTTATGTTTCATCATAATATAAGAGAGTTTAATAATTTTACGAGCTTCCTCTGATAAGCTAGAATAAAAATTACTATATTATATTTACGTTGATTGTTATGATGTGTTATAAAAACAATTACGTACCGCGGATAAACATATCTATGAGCGTAAGCAATATATTTTTGAAGAAACTCTAAAGGAAATAGGTCGGACGACGGAATATCTGTCGTGAATTATAATATTACATTATGTACTAGTAGTCGGAAATAAAAAACATTGATATATATCACAATGAAGGACTAATTTACCATGACTTTGTGATATGTCTACAAGAAATAGTTCAGGATTTGCCTAAAAAATTAGTCATTTTAATAAAAAAATTTGTTTTTTTTTGTTTATAATAAATTATATACAAACCGAAATAACACGCTCTGCACGGTAATTATCCATCTCTTCATCTGGAATATCAAGTAATAAGAAAATAAGGTCAAAGGTAGATAACATATTATTGCTTATTTTCAGGTTCTTGGATAATGTTTTGTCCTTGCTAACATAAAAGTTAAATTCTGAAGGTTTAGTTTGATCTTTTTAAAAGTTCGCACTTTAATATTGTAGTTACTTGTAGCGCCCACCCCATTGACCGGATTGGCCGCTGCTCTATAATGGAAAGAACAATTAAATTTTTTATATTTTTTGAATAGTTATTCAAGATCAATAGCTTACATAGCTTACATTATACTCGTTTGAGTTTTGA